TACTAAGTAAGTAATTCCAAACTGAAATAGATATACTATTTTAACACGTAATTTAATTTTATAATAATAAAATGATCAGGGAGATTACTCAAAGTTAACATCATTAAATAATTCTAAACATTGACTTAGAATTCGTATGATATGATCGGAATCGCGCTTAATCCCAATTTATAACCACATTTAACGTCAAAATAAAAATTGAAATTCAAATACAGGGTGAACCATTATTACTGCAGATGCCAATGCCTAGCAAAAGGCTCGCATGGCGTAGTCTACTTTACGCGACACTGATTTTAAAGTATTCACAATTTAGAATTTTTTTATATAACTTTGTTAAATCTACAGAATTTTTTTAGAATTTTTGAAAACCGTCGAATTTTCATGCTGCTACAATTTCCTTGGAATTTTCTTGGAAATTCGTAAAATTTTAAAATTTCAGAATCTATATAATCTTCATAAGCCCTTCCCGGAGTCTTTGTAGAATTCTGGAGGATTTTCTTAGAAACCCAAACTATTATAGTCTTAGAATCGCCCCAGAATAATCTCACAATTTTCTTGGGGTAAATTTGGGATGTTCTTAAAATTCTCTTATTATCTGTTTAGAACTTTCTCTTAGATAAAGTCAATGTTTCAGAATCTTTATTTATTTAAATTTATTTAGACTTTGTTAAACTTTTGTAGATTTAGATTCTAGCACCATTTCAGAATCTTTATAAAATCTCTTGCTGATCCTAATCTTGAGTACCTGTTAACATACTAGAATCGTCTCAGACTTTAAAGAACCTTTTCGGAGTCATCTTCGAATCTCCTTACTATTTTTTTTAAACCTGATTTTAGAATGTCTTGAAAACTTTGAAAGCATTATTTATAATCTCTTTAAAATCTACATTGCTTCATGTTTTCTCAACCTCTTTTACATCCTTATCAATTTAATGATATTCAGTTTAAACGGTGTACATCGGTCACGGATTTGGGTATTATATTTGATTTTAAACTTTCCTTTTCGGAACATATATCGGTGACTATTGCTTCTGCTTTAAAAATGCTTGGCTTTATTATCAGAAATTGTCGTGATTTTTCCAATATTTTTGCTATCAAATCTCTATATGCTGCTTATGTGCGATCCAAACTGGAGTATGGTTCTCTTATTTGGTATCCTTACTATGACTGCCATAAAACAACCCTGGAAGCAGTGCAGCGTAAGTTTCTGAAGTTTTTATCGTTTAAATTGGACAGAGTTTATCCCGCTATTGGTACTGATCATCAACTACTGTTATCTCGATTTCAGGTACATTCCTTAGAAGTTCGCAGAACTCTGTCAAGCCTTAACTTTCTCTTCAATTTGTTACACAATAACCTAGATTGTCCATCTCTTTTTTCCCTTATTCGGTTTCATGTGCCACGTTCTTCGGCTCGTAATGTATATACTTTCAATTGTGCTAAGGCCAATACAAACTTACTTTGTAAATCACCTATATTTGTTATGGTAAGCAACTTTAACAAAATTGCTAATATGTGTGACATTAACACTTGCTCAGTATCTGATCTTAAAAGATTGATGGAATATTTTTAATCTTATTTTTAATCTTTAAGTTTAATATCATTTAATTTGGTTTTTATTAGGTTAGCGGTTAAGACATTAGTATATTTAGTTATTGTGCTTTTTTAGATTAGTAATTGTCCTATAATTGGAATTTGATTCTGTTGGGCAATAAATCATATTATTATTATTATTATGTTTTAATGTAGGTAGTGGCTTTGAAGTTCGAGTATTGTTGTTGCTCACTTTATACGAAGATCGTTGGATTGGTCAGGGTGGACCTCACTTATTGCCGGCTCGATCCCCGGACTTGAACCCCCTGGATTATTTCCTATGGAGTTATCTAAAATTATTAGTTTACACTATTCCAGTGGAAGATGTGGACGATTTAAGAGATCGGATAATTGCTGGGTGTAATTCAATAAGAAACGATCCTGGTGTTTTAGAGTCCGGGTATCGATGAAGAGAAGATTGGATGGTTGCTTCCGAGCTAGAGGTAGCCATTTTGTACAATTCTTGTACATTCAAAAATGATACATGTAATTTTTAGTCATAAATTATTATTGTTGCATTTTTCAAAATCATCAAATGATAACATATGCTTAAAATAGACCAAGGAATTACTTCTTTAATTTTTGCCGCATGTCACCTCCATAGAACAATCAGAGTTTTTGTAGAATCTTCTACTTAGGATTATTTGAAATCTGAACACGCTAATGTTTATTGACTTTTGCTTCATTTCTATGAATCTTCATTCTGCTTGAATTTTTTGTGGGGTTGTAGAATATTTATGAATTTTCAAAGCATTTTTAACTTTCATTTTTTAAGTTTTTGAATTTTTTTACCAGAAGAAACAATTGTGTAATTTTGTAACACGCAGAAATTCGAAATTCTATTTTCTCTGAGTTTTTTTGTCTATCTCTTATTTATGGAATTTTATTTTTTTTAATTATTCCGGATGGTTATGAAACTTGATCCTTTTGAATATCTGACAACATTAAATTGTTGTTGTTAGTTTTGTAAATTTTAATGTCTCCTCGAATTTTTGCAATAGCTCTTATGAATTGCTTCCGAATTTTCTGTTAATTTTCCTGTGTTAATTAAAGTTTTGAGTTATTTTTGAATGGTCCTGACCTTTTTGATAAATGAGTGAATCATCAAAATTGTTTGTTTTTTTAATTATTTTCAATCTTTGCGTTTTTAATTCCCTTAAAATTGTTGATTTTTTTAAATTTTTTACGAATTCTGAAGAAATAGCGACAGCTGAAGTTGCTATGATTCGTTTATTCCCCTTTGAATTGCATACATTATCACTTTTCATCGAATTTTTGTGTTGGGTTTCTAAATTAGCATGAATGTTCAGCTGTTTACATGATGGTAGGATTTTCTGTTAAATTTAAAATTTTCTGCTTTAAAGATTCCAGTTTTTAGCGCATCTCCACAAAAATAAAAAAAATGCGCTATTGTGGCCACTTTGTCCGTCCGTCCGTCCGTCCGCTCGTTTTGCGACGCTACTAGTTCTTTATCTTAAGAGCTATTGTTCTACTTTTTTCGCTATTTGGTTCGTTATGGTGTCGAGTCTTGTACCAAGGAAGGAATTTTTTCTGTACCGCTTACAAAAAAAGTTATTGTAAAAAAAACAAAAAACCGTTTTTTACATGTTCCATAATTTTACACTTTTGCCGTTTATTAACGATCCTAGAGATCGTTTATAATTTTGCATTGCTATCTGTCGTCTGCCTGTTGGTCTGTCCGTCTGTTCCTTTGTCTGTCTGTCCATCTATCTGTCCGTGTGAACGATAACTTTGTTTAGAAATGTTCGATCGCTTTTACATCTCCGTTAGTTATGAACTGAATTGCATGAAATTCAATATGGGCATAGCTTTAGCCATATAATACGCAATGCCAAAAGTTGAATCGAATCGATTCAAAATTCACAGTGCCCTTTTCGCATCTCGACCATTTATAAACCGAATTGCAAACTTTTTTACTTATAAAAGTATTTGAATGAAATTTGATACAAAGGCACTTGGAATAAAGGAAAATCAAACGCCAATTTCAAAATTTGGTTTTGCGCATGCGCAGTGCCAACTTTTTTATTTATGGAAGAATTTAAATGAAATTTGATACATAGGCACATGGAACAAAGGAAAATCTAACATTAGTTTCAAAATTTAGGTTTGCGCATGCGCAGTTCTAACTTTCTTATTTAGAAAAGCATTGAAATGAAATTCTTCTCATAAACTGAAAGTGGAAATGCGTTTTATGTAAATCGTTTACGATTACTTTTTAACTTGTTCACCTTTTCCTAATTCCTATGCATTCTCAATTCTCTTAGAACTTTTCCCTGGGAAAACCATTGTGAACTTTTTGTGACACATTCAGTGTGCTTATCTATACTCACTTAATGCTCGCTTAATGAACGACACACAAAACCTTAGTATTAGGTACAAATCGGCACAAAACTATAGTAGGTATTAGTGTCAGGAGGGCCCCTAACGGAAAATTCTGAATTTATCCAAAACGAAAGAACCACAAAACTTTGGATTGGCGCACAAGATGATCACAATGTTTTAGAAATTTAGCAAAATGGAGTAGCGATTCATGAGTGCTATCTTAATTCACCTGTACAAATATAAAATGCAATGTTATGAATTTATAAATTTTGACAAATATCTAACTAAAGATTACCGAAGATTCAGCCTAATAGCATTGAATAAAAACAATTTTTATTCAATGCTAATAACCAGAGCATAATGTGGCGGAACCCCACCTTGCTGAAAGGACACATTTCCTGATTTTTTAATCAAAATTACTAATTAAAATGCGGATGGTTCGTTTTGAAATGAAAGTCCTATATAAAGAAAAGAACAGGAAGTATTTTGGGGTACTTCTGTGAAGCTATTCCCCTGAATCGTTCACTCAACGTCTGAATGGATACTGACAAATCTTAATAATTCCCCCGAATTTTTTACGTCATTATTGTATTACACGCTTACCGAAAAATTTGTTCGGATCAGCTGCATATAGAAAAGTTGCTTTTTTACAGATTCTGAAGATAGATTAACCCGTAATTGTAGTGCACTTTTTTTAAACTTGCAAAATTGACTCAAATTAAGTACCGCATGTGTTGAAGACCCAGATCTCAATCTATAACAATACCACCCGTTACACAATTTAAACAATAGCAAAGTAGTCTAGTGAGAAAATATTGTTAAGCGTGCCTTACTAACGTTTACCAACACTTTTAACCTTGCCTAAGTTCGTAAGTGCTTAATATGCCATTCAATACCGAAATTGTATGCAATTCACCCTGCTGTTTGCTAAACAAGTATATAGTCCTTTCGCAAACAAGAACGTGTCATTAAATTACAATTTAACAATACATTTTTCCGTAATTTATTTACTTAATTAAAGTATTGTAGAATGTTTAATTCAATTCTATTGTATCTTTGTTACAAGGCACGATTATACCAGTTTGAAGAAAATCGTACACCAAAGACAATAATAGTTAATCAAAAATTTAGGCAGATGTCTACACATGATTGGGCACAAGCTCGCGCAAGCTCATTAGTTAGTGTCAATTTAATTGCAGGAAGCTTTTTCAAGCATAGATAACGAATGATTTTTGCAAATCCTAAAAACCATTAAAGTAGCAATTTCTAGTAAAGAAATGTTATTGGACAAGAATAAGTGAGTGGAATTTTCCTAGGATTTTTTATTTCCTCGTTGTGTTGTCTGGTGCTCGAAAAAAATTCCAAATACCAAATAACCATAACCAGAGTGCTATTAGATGATGAGGTGGCAAAATCGGATATTCCATTCTTCCGAATACTAATAATTTATTTATTTAAACTATGACCCTTTATTTAAAATCAAACAGATTACCTAGCTGAATTATCTATTACAATTCATTTCTTCTGTTGCTTACAAACAGTCGCTCATTTTCTTCAAAGTTGAGCGAATCCCAAAATGCTCGATTTCCTATTGAATCCACACTTTTCATTTGTATCTCGTTAGGAGATTTAATGTGTAAATAATTAATGGGATCATCTTCATTTGAAGAAATCGGAGTCCATTCCACACCATCCACTTTGGGTACACTAAAATTAAATTATTTAACGAACTTAGCTTAGTGAAATTCAATCATAATTGTATGAAGATGTCTTCCTTTCTTTAATTTAATAACATCAATATTGACTCCCTTACTAATGGCCTTAATGAGCTACTACATGTTTATCACTCGGAAGAGAGCGTATGCGGAATACAATTGATAACTAACTAGTCATAAACCCGCACTCACCCTGTACTGGCAAATGTTGTCCAAATGTTCAGAAGCGTCTCTTTCATGTGCTCATCTCCGGGTGCTATTCTTCTATAGGGATTAGTGGGAAAAGGGAATATAAAAGCAAGATCATCTCCATGGCAGACACCTGCAATTTAAGAATGAACATTTCGCACTATAAGGGGTCTTTACCATGCCGAACGCCGCCGGGTGCCCAAAAATCCGTAAATGTGTGAGTAATTTCTCCCGTATATGCAAAATAGTAGTAATAAGTTGGAGATTTGTTTGCACGGGCTTGTAACCTTATGGACTTGTCCGTATCTACAAAAAATAGACGGTCACTCGCAATCTAAAAATTGATTACGGTAAGTTGAAGGGTGTGGTATTCAAACTCACTTTAATCAATTCTTGAGACATCTCTCTACTGACCGGTTTGTTCTTGAAATAAAATTCTCTAATTTTTATTGAAACTGCTTCTAGCCGATCGCGAGGAATTGTATCTTCATAGTGAAGAATGGACGGCAACACTTTCGTCCACTTTTCCTTCAATTCTTCTAAATATTTATCCTGCGTTAAGAAATCTAAAAAAATCTGATTGAAATGTAACTTTCAAAGTACGCGCCTTACCAGCAACTGGGTAAAGACCTTCGTGACTTACAGTTGATGTTAACCAAGGCAGATCTTGGATTGCGTTCCTCCGCAACAGTGCGTAGGGGTGTTCGGGTAAAAAAGGGTTGTTACCAAACTTTTCCACAACGAGACCGAATGTAGTGAATGGGTTGTACAACCAAGCACGATGAATACGCGACGTTTCAACCAGTTGAGCTACTGACCTTTGTTCCATGCATTTTATTAGCTCCACGGTCGACTTTTGGTTGCACCCTACCGCTGCCCCAGTTTCCCGGGCTCTCCTCAAGGGATTCTCTTGCATCACCCAGGGGCATAACACGTTTCCACTTCCAGAGATTCCACCTTTAAACAAACCCTTGGACAGTGGTGACAAAAAGTGAAACTGAACGCTTGCTCCTCCAGCAGACAGTCCACTTAAGGTAATTGAGTTGGGATTTCCCCCAAACCTTCTTATATTATCCTTCACCCACTTTATTGCTTGAACTTGGTCTTTCATACCGTTATTACCCGGCAGTACCTCATCTTCGGTGCTCATGAACCCCAATACTCCTAAACGATAATTCACCGTAATAAAAATAACATCCCTATCCATCAGATAAACGGGATTTGCGTAATTATTGCCTCCTCCGAAGCTGAAACCGCCGCCATGAATGTTGAAGATAACATCGAGCTCTTTTTTGTGTTGGACTTCTGGCACAAAGATACTGATATACAAACAATCTTCTTGTCCTATGGTTGTATGGAGTTAATAGTTTCGTCAAATTTATCATTACCCATGAAAATGCCACCCGTTGCTGCGTCATGTTTCAGTTGGGCACACTTTGTGCTGAAATTTGCGTGCCAAACTCCTAGCCAAGGTTTTAGTGGTTGTGGCTCCTACAAAGATTAAAAATGCGTTTGAAAATACCCAAAACTCACTAACTGCTTCACCAATGAGGGAAGTTCCGCTCAATCATTCCGCTTATTACGTGACAAAAGAAACCGATAAAAATTTAAATTGGATCATCAAAATATGCGCTTACCTTAAAACGCAAATCATTCAAAGGTGGCTGAGCGTATGGTACACTCAAATATTCGGCGTACCTTCGTCCTGAATATGACGTTGAATACTTTCCTACTATTAATCCGAAGCTTGTTTTTACTTTTGGGTACAAATTAGCACAAAATACTAACGGGCACACTATAAGCTAAACAAATTAACGCCGTAGAAGTATGGCATATAATTATCTCACTGAAAAGTGCCAGAAGAAAGAGACAAACGTTCATAACCGCTAACTAGACTCTCTACACACTGCGTAGATAAGGTACTCGATTCTTTTATCAGTGCTTATTAAGCCACCAAACAAATAATGTACTACTTTATGCTACTGTCAGTTATGTATTAAGGTTAATTTATCTTCATAAGCGATAACAAGCGACTTGAACCATGAACTGTTAAAAAATCTCATATGCCAATTGAAATCATGAATGAAAACATCATTTTTGAGATTGTGTAGACAATTCTAAAGTATTTTGGACACAACCTGTATGTATTAACTAAAGAAATATTAATGAATTTAAAAACTAGATTGAATGATTGAGTCAAATTTGATCCGACCACTGAAGTAAGATGTGTGAATTTAACGATACTTTTGAAATTTGGCCTATTCGTGGCAATAAGGGTGCAGTAGGAGTAGGTAGCTTACGGGTAATGGTAATATTCGATTAAAAACATTTATGTACCAGTTTCATTGAGGAAATAGCAAAGCGCACTACAAGAAAATGTATAAAACCTACTGGGAATACCATGGAAAAATGTTTTTTGTAGGAAGTTTCCAAATTACAGATCTCATTATCTTTTACTCTGCTAGGTTGGTAAGGTTGTTCTAATTTTCGATAATAAAAAAAGAATGAACATACTCAAGTCATCAAAGAAAGTGACATTTCAGTTGGAACGATTAGGACATAAATGAAATTGCTCCCAAAAGTTTTAAAAGGTCTTAGTATAATATCTGAAAACCAAACCTTGACGAACTTGTATGGTTTTAGGAGTCGTTAAGAGCTTTTAAAGGTCTTTTAAAGTCTCTAATAGTCTAGAAAGCCAGCCTTCTAAACGATTTACGGGGCTTTTGGTTAAAAGTTTTTGATACTCTTTAAGGACCTTTAAGATCTGAGCCTTTAAAACGTTTGATGCTGTTTCAGAGCTTTTCAGTGTCTGTAAGAACCGCCAATGGTCGCAATAAACCCTTCTTATTAAGCTTCTAAAATCTGGCCGTTTTTCCTAGGGCTTGAAAAGGTTTTGAGACCTTTAAAGGATAATCAGCTAAGGCAAAGCTAAGGGCCCCAGTATTCAGCGCATTCCCGATCCTAGTCTAAGCATAGAGTATAAAAGGTGTTC